CGTTCGTTGTCGCACTCGCTCGCCTTTCGTTCGTTCGTTCGTTCGTTCGTTGGTTCGTTCGTTCGCTCGTTGGTTGCGTTCGACAAACGCGGGAGTTGACTGGGCGCCCAGAAATAGCAGCAAGCGAAAAGTGCTTGGAAAATCTGTAATGTGGAAATGTGCTCAACATTTGCCTTGAACCAAAACGGGGGGTAGGAAAAGAGAAAGAGAGTAAAAGAGCGAAAAGAGAGAAAAACGAGAGCTAAAGTTGAAAGTTAAATTGAATTGAGGTGGGCCGAAGTGTGTGGCCTGGAGGGTTGAAGGCCCCCAGGGGTCCCTTTTGGGTGGCTAGGCAATATAGTGGCAGCAGAATGGGTGGTCAGGGTGGGCATAGTGGGTGGCATGGGCAATGGACTACATCAGCAGGATGGGTGGGTGTCTGTTCTGGCTGTGTGGAGTGGATGAATTTGTTGGCCCATCAAAATGACTTTCAGCATGTGGAAGCCGCTGCTTAGCATGTTTCCTGACAGGCCACGTGTGCGCAAAGAGAGAGTGGAGTGAACGAGAATTTCTCTCCCTCTCTCGCTCTCTCTGTCTAACTCTCTGCTTACTCTGCTGCTGCTGCTGTGTTGGTGTGGCTGTGAAAATGAGGCGCAAATTTTGTGGCCGAACAAACAGGACACAAAAAAAAGACGAATAAAAGGTTCAACAAATGGTTTCCAAACAGAAAACCGAAATACCGAATGCCATGCCAGACTTTTGCTGTATTCCCACCCAACCACCCACTATTTAGTGATGATACGAGGGTGTGTTCGGGGTGGATTGGATAGAGTAACTTTCGGGTGAGTGTTTTCCGAGCATTTGAGATGTTATATAGGGGTTTGTATGGTACCTAGTTAGTGTTGATGTGTTGGTATTTTAGATTGTTTCAGATGGGTTTAGATTGCTGATGTGTGTCTTTTGCAGCGTTTGAAGGCAGGTTTGGAACGCTTCTAGAGGGGTTTTTCCAGCTGAGGAGTAGAAGCTTACAGCTTACATATTGATTAAATACTTGTTGAAGGTATGGAACTATACCGATAATGGTTAGAGGTATTATAAACATATTTTTCCTGTGAAATTTCAACACTTTTATAGCCCCCAATTAGTTGTATAAGTTAAGGTCCCGCTGTTACACCATTTCTATTCATATTTTATGTTTATTCTTTATGGCTCTGATATCCTAATACAATACAATTTCATGGCATTTCTCTTGACATTTGAGAGAAACTTAATGCGTGTCGGGTATCTCCTAGTCCAGCACTTTGCACTGGGCGCACAGCAAATGCCACACAGCACACACAGTGCCCCACAATATTCCCACAAACACACACACACACACACAGAGCCTGTCCCTCTCTTTCGCACACACATTTCCGCTCATTTTCTGGCTTCCTCTCTCACACTCTTGCTGATTCTGATTCTCTCTGTCTTCCTCCTCTCACACTGTGGGATGCTTGAAAATTATGTCAACGAGCTCTGTTGATTTTCCCCCATTTCATAGGGCTTTTATAACAGCCTTCCGCCTCCCAGCAGCATTCTCCTGTTGTTTTGGAGCTTTCATTTCTCTCTTCCTTTTGCTGCTCTCTTCCGCCTGCTTCCTCGCTCCTGCGCTCCCTTTTGGTCGCTGGTTAATTACATTTTACAAAATTTGCTGTCAAGTAGTTAAGTTGGGTTAAGTCGAGCCGACTGCTCGTTCGCTTTTCGCTTTTCGCTTGCTTTTTTTTGTTGTTGGTAATTTAATATTCGATTTTCACAAAATTGTATGCGCTGACCTTTTTGCATTTTGTGGAATTTTCCTTTTTAATTATTTATTTGCGGTTGTTCTTGCTGTGTGTGCGGTGCGGTGCGGAACGGAACGGAGGAATAGGTGGAGGAGGGGAAGGAGGATGGATTTTCCAAGGTAGGGGGGTGGGGCAGCTGCTGTGGCTGTGTGACGGCAGTGGGCGTGTCATCCGTGTCCTCGTGTTTTGCTTTTCATCCGCAGATTAAAAGGAAAACCGTTTGTATTTAATTATGCATTCAGGTGATGGTAATTGGGGATTGTAATTCGGAATGTACTTCGCATGTTGAGAGGGGACCAGGAATCAGACTGGAGGATTGGGCAGTCAGAATTGGGAGATTGCGAGATTGCTAGACAAGCGGAAATGTTGTACTGATGTTTACACATGCTAACAGACTGGGCGGAAGGGCGTGGGAGAATGACTGTGGATTGACCATTCAGCGCTTACAGATATACAAATTATACACATGTATGTACATACATATGTATGTATGTATGTATTTATTTATGTATAAAGCTGTGTATATCCCTCCATGTGGATAATGTGCTCCGTGTGTTTGGTGAGTGGAGAATTCAACAAAAATATTTTTAAAAGCTCAAGTCAGCAGCCAAACAAGGAAGCGAAAAAAATGGCATGCCTGCCACACGGGGACCAGGGACAGGCCAACAGAGACACAGATGGAATGGCAATAGTGGTGGTGGAGTAGGGAGCGGGGGCCGTTGATGCAGATGTGGTAGGAAAGGAAACAGAAGGACACCGAAACGGTAGGTCGTTGGCAACTGAAGATTGTAGAACGAAAACGGAATGCTCTGCAAAGCTACTTGGAAAAGTAGTGAAGGAATTTCATAAAATTTTAAAATTAATGAACCGAAAATCAAGAAAGCAAAAAAATGTGTTCAGCCTTCAGCGTTTTCGGACTCACCAAGGAGGATGCTCTGTTCGGTTAGAGTATTGACAGCGAACGACTTCTGCAAAAGCAAAAGACAACTGAGCAAAAAACACACACAAACGGGAAAAAAGAAGGAAAATTGTGGCGCAAAATGTTACGCTTGCATCGAGTGGGTGACTGTGGGGGAGAAGGGGCAGCAGGGAGAAACAGAGGATTGGATTTTGGTGGCAGAGAAAGGAGAGAAAGAAAGACAGAAAGAGAAAAAAGGCGAGCATGTTGGTGGCTCCTACAATGACAGCAGCCTGCAACATCAGGCGAAGGACGAAGGACTACTATTGTGGGTGTGGGTGTGGGTGTGGGTGTGGGTGGGTGTGTGGGAGGTAGAAATGATGGCAAAGGCATTAAGCTGCGCCCACACACAAACACACACAGACGTACAATCACGCATACTCTTACATGGAACGACAGACATTATAGTCCTGGCAGAGGCGAAGGATGATGCGTTTTCCATGAAAATACAGCCACAAACACACAGACACACAGGAGAGGATACACTCGTTGCTGGCGACATACTTTTACACAAACACATCCACTATGGAGGAGCAAGAAGAACACTCAAAAGATGGAGAACAAGGGAAAGAAGCGGTGGGTGGAGGAGGAACCTGGCAAGCAACTGGCGGTGGGTGGCGCGGCTTTCGACGATGTGAAAGCTGTGGAAACTGGGAAAAAGCTGCGCGCAGCGCCATCCGATGGAGCCATGGATGATATGCCAACAACAAAAAATTGAAAGAGAAGAAAAACACTCACCCACCCACACACACACGCTGGCACACACACACACACACATGGCAGACCCACACACATGCAGAGGAGTTGGGAAAAATGGCAACATAACTGTAGTGAAAATGTCAAGAGAGAAAAGATATTAAAACGTATTTGACTTCTGTGAGTCTCTGTGGAGAAACGAAGGGCAGGAGAGGCAAGGAGAGGAGTGGAGCGGAGTGGGTTGGAGCGGAGTGGAGTGTAGTGGGGCAGCACTGCTGGCAGGATGTGCGCCAGTGTGGCACAATGAAAAATATATAAAGAAGCCGCCACTCACACACGAACAGAAAGAGACAGAGATAGATGGATGGAGAGCGAGTGTGTAAGAGAGAAAGACAGAGAAAGAGCTTATGACAAAAATAATAATAAAAATGGCTCAAGAAAAGAAAATGGCAAAAACGAAAGCAAAATGTAAAAACAGAGAGAGTAGAAAAAAAAGGAAAAAAAATTGAAGGAAAATACAAGTATAAAAATGAATTTTAGATGACAGGCAAAGCAGCTTGTTGAGGAGAAGAGGATGGCACGAAAGAGGAGGCGAGTGGGGTGGAGGAGATAGCAGGAAAATCCTGATACTGCCAGCTGGGTTGGCTGTTGCAGGGTGTGGCGGGGGGTACGGTTTGTCTTTGCAGTTAAGCAGACAAGTAAATGTTGTCCTTGTTGTTGCCACTGTGCTGATGCTACTACATCTCTTCCGACCAGTGCCCCAACAGCGCCACCCAACCGCACGACGAGAATGAAGGCAGCAGAAAGCGTAAAAGGAGGCGTGGCACCAGCAGCAGCACCAGCAGCAGCAGCAGCATTGCAAGGAAGAAGCACAACAAAAAAATGGGAGTAAAAATTGTGGAAAAGTTTTATGGGCAACAGCAGCAAAAATTGCAATATACCCAAGGCGTGGGGTGCAGGGGAAGAGGAGGAATGGGTGGCTCCTGTTGATGGCTTTGGATACGAGGATGCGGCGGCAGTGGCAGTGGAGGCACTGACAAGGATGAGGCGGCAGCAGTCAAGAGATGAGAAAACTGAAAAACGGAATGCGTATAGGAAACCAATTTAAAGTGGGAGGAGAAGAAGTAGGAGGCGGAGTAGATATAGCCACAGAGAGACTACAGATGAACGGAGAGATGATGTGGCCATAGAAAACTTAAAAGATTTGCCCTCGCTGCACTTTAGAGATATTCCTTGCAGAGAAAGTGTCGGGTGCATATGTTTAGCAGGATTTTGTTAATCCTGCAAACGGGAAACTTTAATTTGCAACAAAAAGAAAGATTTTGCTTTCCCCGAAGCACTCTTTTCCCGCTAAAACCCACTGTCAGGGGTATAAAGGGTCCAAAAATAAATGAATAACATAAAAATAAATCATACGCCCCATCGGCCGCCAGTAAAAAGTGAGGCCAATACCGTTAGCCATTACCCATGCTGCAGACACTACAGTACACCCCATCACCCACTCTCTACACCAGCGTATCCCCACCACAACCTCCTGCTCCATGCTCATGGCGCTAATAAATGCTTATCGAAGACGCATAAAGCGAGTAAATTCGCAGCCATTAAACGAGCATAAAAGTCGAGGCGACCGACACCCCGACACCCCGAACCGACAGACCGACAGGCTACCCCAACAAATCAAAGTACAAGCCCCAAACAACCCACTCCGCCTCACCCCTCACCACTCCTCACTCACCCCTGCTCTTCTGCCGTCACTTTTCTCTCCAATGAAATAAAAACAGGCAACAATGAAACCCAAAAGCGGGTCCCAGGCGATTTCAATGCGGGCATTTGTTGTGGGTCCGAGCGAAGGAATCAACCACCCTACAGGAACCCCAAGCCAAAACACGGAGAACCGAGAACCGAGAACCTTTCAGGCCATGCCACGTCCCAACAACCCCAACTCCTGCTTCTGCTGCAACCCTCTGTCCCTCCTCGACTGGCTATATAACCATCTTACCCAACGTTGACAGCATACAAAGTAACTTAAATCGAAACAATAAAGCGGCAACTTTGTTCCCAGCACAAAATGCAAAAGGAAAAACAGAAATTGAACAGAGGAAAAACGTAGCAGAAAGCTGGAAAAACATTGCCAGGCAAGTGAGAGCACGATACCCTTTCCCGGAAGAAGAAATGAGAAGGAATTGCTCATAAGTTTTGAATTTCCAATAGGATCTCACAATTGTTGTAGACTTTTGTACGTTTCGTATTCAAATGACATTCACTTAGAGTTAGACAATCTATGGAGTTCCACTACAGGGTATCCTAATGCCCAATACACTGGACTACTGAAACTTGCGATCGAAAATCCTTCAGTAAGAGTATTATTAAAAAGAAAAAACATAAGAAAAGTCGTGAAAGGAAAGCGAAGCGCATAAAAGTTCCTAAAGAAGGAAAAAATTGGAAGAACGAGAAAGAAAGGACAAATGGGGGCTGGAGAAAGAGAGACAGAGAAGCGACAGAAAAAAGGAATGTGGAAAAGCGCAAATAAATGAATGAATAAAAGCGTTGAGGAGGATACCCAACAGAAGGAGGAGGAGCAGCAGAAGGAGGAGGATACAGGAGCAAAGAGGAGCTAAGAGAATGGGGAAGAGTTTCACAAAGAAATTACAAAATGTATGCAACAGAAAAAACGGTGCAAAAAAAATAGCAGGAGCAGCAAAAAGAGCAGGAAAAGGGAAGGCAGGCAGAGTATGGGGCGCTGCAGCAACGCTGAAAAAATATTAATAAATCCGCGCCACTGTGGGACACTGCCCCAGCTCTTATCCTCCTCGGAAGCCAGCCCCCCTACTTTCTTTCCATTCTCTTGCGTTTTGTCCCGCTTCACATTCTACTCCCTGAGCGCCATGCGGCGTATGAGCAATGTGCGGAAGGGTGAAACATCAGCAGGAAAGGAGCATGAAAATGCGGGAAATGTTCACTGAGGCCATGGCAGGGGGCAATATGTGCAAAATTGTTAAATCAAGTTGCAGTAACCAACTTTGAGTTGGAAATAAATTAGGGTTCGCATTGGATTACTTGGGGGAATGACGTTTATTTCGAATAAAAATAGTTACAGCTGATGTTTAACTTATTTGCTGTGTAACAATTGTCTATGGCTATTGAGAATTAGCTAGAAATTAAAAGACAGAATTGTTTAAGCTACCGAAATTAAGCTATCGAAATGAGCAGAGCCTTTTCTGATGCTAATCCTTACGACACTCTTTCCAAATATTATTCTCAATATTTTGGGATACTTTTCCTGAACGATCTTTATCCGAAATCATAGTTTGTATGTTCGTTTTTCGTTTATTATGCACATATTCGATGAATCTCTTTTACCCTTATCAAAAATCTTTCATTCTCCCCCCCCTCTTGAAGATCTGTCCGCTTGTAGAGATGTTATCCTTGCAATTACTATAAACTAATCTTCCGCATTAGCGCATTTCCGCACTGCCACCCACATTCTGTGCTACCCGCTGCTCCCCGCCTCCAGTTTGAACGACACTCTGGCAAACCGCAACTTCCCGAATTGACGGGCGGAGCCTGCCACTGGAGCGACCACTAATCATAACGATAACACCTAATCAACCGCAACTCCACAAAATCGGAATTACGAATCGGAATCCAGGAATGAAACCAGGACCCTTCCCTCCTCCCTCTTGTCCCTCGCTTCATTTCACCCAAAAAAAAAGAGCGTGAAAAAAAAGGTTTTGGGGGCAAATTAAATGAAACGTTGATAAGGCGCAAAAGGGCGCACTAAACGGTAAAATCGAATGAGCGAACAAATGAGTGAGTGAGTGGTTCTCTCCCCTCACTCAATTCTCTCTCTTTCACACTCGCTCTCTGGCAGGCGGACATGTCGGAGGGCGGACGTGCCCGACTGACTTTCGGCACAAGTGCGCAGCGATGGCGAAAAGTGAATTTTCCGCTGAGTTGTGTGGATGGGTGAGCGAGGTGTGGTAGTGGGTGTGGCGGGGGTATAAGAATAATTTCCACAGCTAAATGCAACTGGGATGGAGTGTGTGTATGACAAAGATAGCACCAACACCACACACAAAACACACACACAACACACACACAACACACACACAACACACACACAATGAGCATTAGAGCAGGCATCGAACGTTTGTGTTTGGTCTCCAAGTTCGGGTTCGTTTAGTGTTCGTGTTCGGTCGTCTCGTTCGATTGCCCCCGCTTGGTCGGTCTGAGTTCGCACGGACCACAATGCTCCACTCTGCTTTCTTCTGTTCGCCTGTTCCATTGGCAGCGTGTTGCGTTCGTGTGTGACGTTCTGTGCGAGCCACGTTCGGACTTGATTGAGCGCACCGCTTCTTTCTCTCTCCCTCACTCTTTTGCAAAGTGTGTGTGTGTTTTGTTGGTAATTGCACACCCGTCCACTCTACTCTCCTACTGCCAGTCTCCTTGTGCACACATTTGCTTAACTGGACTTGATTAGGTTTTCGAGGTTAGATACATTACGGAATTATTCAGCGCACAACAGGAGGCCGGCCATGTTTCAACTTGACGACCTCTCGCAGTCCTTGTGGCACTCCTGCCACAGCACTGCTTCCATTACCCACCCACATCCACCACCCATGCCCGCTCTCTCACACCATGTCTGAAGCGAGAGTCCGAGTCCGATCTGAACACCGATCCAACACCACCCCACTTGTTTGGGTTGCAAGCGAACACATTCGCTCAGTCGGGTTGCGGAGGGGGATTTTGCTGTTGTTGTTGATATTGCTGTTGGGTCTGCTGTTGGGTTTTGCTGTTCATTGAATTAGTTCAACTGCGTCGGGCATTTATACATATAGAAATCCGTACGTTTTGTACTGCTTTCTGCCTCTTTTTTGATTGCTTTGTAATTGCGTTAGGATGCGGGACTTGCCTTGCGAACTTGATTATCCCTGCCACGTAGCACATAATTGTAACCATTAATATTTTATTGGGTGGTGCTGCTCTTTCATGGACAACATTTATACATTTTGTTATTCCAAGGCTTCCGCCTCTTCTTTGTGTCTTGTCTGTGCAGAGGGGTAGAAGGATAATAGGAGTGCCCTGGGGTGTGTCTGTCGCATGCGGGGGCACAAGTTTAATTAATCGACTACCGATGCTCTTATTGTTCTTGCAGTCAGTAGTCACAATATTTGACTTGTTAATGCCATGCCTCTAATTGACTCGCGGCCCCTGCCCCCATGAACTCCAAAGTGAAAGTTGTTTTTGACCAACTGTTGTTATGGCCAGCCCCCTTATTGGGTGGTGTTGCCCATCTGGCGGCAAATGCACGAAAATGATGTAAACCCAATTAAATTTCCAATAGAACAAACGAAAGACGCCCCCCGTAGAAGATGATTCGAAGATGGGCAGATGGAAAAGTTTTTGCGGCAGAGAGAGAGAGAGAGAGAGAGAGAAAAGGAAAAAGGAGAGGGAAGAGGGAAGAGAAGAGAAGAAGTAGAAGCAAACTTTTGGTTAGGATTGGGAGGCATCACAGATAATTGCCAGATTGCGTCATGCGAGTAACTTTTCCCTCCCGAAACCCCCCATTGAACCACCTCAGCAGCTTCCACTGCCGCACCACTGCTTTCCAGCAGTTGCAAAGCCATCAAGTTCAATGGGGAAAAAGGAGGAGCTGGAGGCATTTGACAGGAGGCTGACCCATGGAACAAATTGGTAGACAGATCAAAGCATTTCGATTATTAACTGAGCTTTACAGTGGCTCTTGGGTACACAACAGAACAGAGGTGGACTTGGACTTAGTGGTTCTGTTGAATAATTGAAATTCATCGTTTTTTGCTATCAATTATTTGTATTTTTGCTTCATATTTTGAATATTACTTATTCGTTCTTCGTAACCTCTTCGCTCTTATACCTTATGATTTACCGATCTAAGATCTAAATTAAATCAATCGAAATCATCTTCGCTTGCCACTAATCATAGGACATTCAATTGTTGCCCATGTCCATGCCAAAATCCACCCCGAAATTCTATTAATTTCTGTGCCCATTAAACGCAACCCCCACACACCCCATCCTACGCAATTTATCCCCCAAATTGAAGCGAAATCCAAAGACAACCAACTAGGCGAAAATTATCGAAATGACAAAACGAAAGTGAGTGAAACCACCCAGCCCCGACCACTGCCCTTTAATGACAAAGATGCTGGGAAATGTGGGGGGGGGGCTCCCGTGACATTGTCAACGTTTCTTCTACGTTGCTGTCTTTGTATATTGATGATTTTCCACACCCACACAAACACATACCCATGCATACACACACACACACACAAATTGAATTATCCCTAAGAGTGACTGTTTTTCTGTGTATGTGTGTGTGGGTGTATCTTGTATGTGTGGCTGTGTGTTGGTGTTTGCCTTCTGTTTGTGTATCTGCGAGACGTCAAAGTATCTTAATTAAATTTCATCCCTTAGTAGACGGCAGAAGCAAAAACGAAAAAAGACAAAACAAAACAAAAGAAAAACATAATAAAAATGTGCAGCAATTTCTCTCTCGTTGCTCCACTGACTAATAGACAATTTACGCTGCCCTGCCACCAACAAGAAATTCCCCAACAGCACACACCATGACACCACCAAAAACAGCAACAGCAGAAGGAAAATACAGAAAGAACAACCACATGGAAAAAGTCAGCAAGCCACAAAGCAATGAACCAATGAACCACAGGACTCCAATGGGAAGAGGAATTTACATTTTTATTCGATTAGCAACACTGTTTGCTCTGATACAATTTCTCTTTCGTTTTCAAGTTTATCAACGGAACTGCAGCTCAAACCGATTAGTCTTTGTTTTGGCTGTTAAATGAGGAATTTGATAACAGAAACTACTTAGTAGAGTGTAATTACCACCACAAAAACATTCAACCAAAGGTGCAAATAAATCATGAATAAAATAAGATCTTTGACCAACAAATTTCACATTAAACTGAAACTGAAGAGTGCAACTTTACATATTTTACATACTCTGAAT